AAAAATTAAAACAGAAGAAAAAAAATAGAAAAATATAAAAAACAAAAAAAAAAAATTAAATTCAAAATTTCAATAAAAAAAATTAAAAAATTAATTAAAAAAATTTTCTTTTATTAAATTAAAAATAAATGATTAAAAAAATGGCTCTTTAAGTTCAATCTTTTAAACTTTTTTTTTTTTTTTTTTTTTATGCTGGGAAGGACACATTTCTTGATAAGGGTACCTCAACATTTTCCTATTTATTTCATTATAATTTAAAATGTTTTTCCTTTAAGGTGAGGAGGAAGACATTACTCTTGCTTGGACCATACATTGTATTTTGCTTTTATCAGCTTCCTTCACATTGCATCTCCTCGTATTATTCTTAGTAATCCATTTTCTACTGCAGTTGTCTACTGCCCCGCACTTGTATTCCAGGGAATGGGATGTGCCAAAAAACCTACAGCGTCGATGAGACTTGAATTCATTTGCTATTCTTGTTTTCCCCAGTAAAGTAGTTTCTTTCACAAACTTTAATGAGAGGAATTACTGCTCTACGATCTACAGTTGTATTCGATCCTTGAAATGCCTGTGATATTAAAATAGTCATAGATATTATACCCATTTAAAGCATGAATACTTGTTGATTTGCATAGGAAGCACATGAAACAAGCCACATCCATTTTACACAAGGCTGTGCTCTAAGAAAAATTAAAAGGAAGCCCAGTGCTCTGAACCTGTGAAATCCAGGGTGCCCAGCAAAGTATTTCTAATGAAAAACTGAGACTTCCTAGTCATCTAACAGCAAATGTAAGGTGCAGGAGCCACAGGATGCTGTTGAAGGACAACCCTGCTACACTACATAATCAAAATTTTCTATCCCATTTGTAATTTTGGTCAGGTCCAGCAGAAGTCACTCTCATTATAATAACCTTCAAATGTTACTTACTGTGATAGTAAGGTGGCCTGAAAGTGTTTTCAGCAACACTCCATCTTAGTGGAAAATGACAAAATCTGCTATAGCAACTCCGGGCTTTAAACTGGGACATGTCAACACAGTGAATATTGATGGGTCCTACAAAGAATGAAAAGATTTGTTTACAGCAATGATCTGATGTGGACAGGTCACAGGTTTGTGTCCCACCATTGGGAATTCAGCTACTTTCTTCAATCCATGCTTGCGAATAAAGCATGAGAAATAAATAATTATAATACCTAGGTGTGTGGTGTATGGGGTATACATGCTATACATGTATGACGGCAAAGTTCTATAGGGTTTGTAGTCATGTCAGGACATCACACATCCAGATGACTACCCAAATGTAACATCTTTTTTTATTATTTTCTTTGCCCAGTTAAACAAGATGTATTTAGTTTGACTGCTAGTCCTAGCAGTCTGCACAACACTCAACAGCTATAAACCTACTAAAAGGCCTAGCTTACCATGAGTTATTCACCAAGTCTATAAAAATCTTTCTCAAACCCAGACGTTTTAGTCTGGATCAAGATGCAAAATCTATTTCTATATGAACAACCAAGACACCAGAAGACTCTCGGATTCTTTATTACAAAATGGATCTAGCCAGTATAAAGTAAGGGCTGAAATTAAAAGTAATACTAGTAATTACCAAGGTTAGGGAGTGCAGTTGACAACGATCAATGGTCCAAACGCTTTTGCTCCAATGCAGTGCTTTGCGTAAGTTTCACTTGACAGGTGGTGACAAAACATGCATGATTAGATAACGAGGGCTGGAAGGCTGAAACGCGCGTGATCAAATTACATTTTGTGCATCCATTCATTCTTAGTAGAAGTCGAAACGAATACTGGCTACATACATGCGATGCGTGCAAAATAACAACCTGGAGATAAGGATTGCGGGCTCCTCTTGTCGCCCACAATTACTATGGTGTCCTTTCGTTACAAATCAAAATACCTGGAGGTGTATTATTGGTAAAATTGTGTACTACTGGTCGACAAGTATTAGACCCTGTATGGAGGAACATTATATGACACTGGTATGCATGATTCATGGTCAAATATCTTCCACAATAAAGATCTAGAACACCTAGCATCTACATGTATACTCACACAATGGTCAAATGAAACTGTGTTAATGACATTAAAGCAGCTTAGGTTGTACTTGTAAGGAGCATAGTTACCATACCAAGCCACAGCATCAAAGGGGGAATGACCCTAAAGAAATAAACAAGTCATGCAAAAGAAGCATGAATGAATAGAGGGCAAAATAATAATAATACAGTGAAGCCTCTATTAAGCAGACACGTTCGGGACCTTCCCAAGTGTCCGCTTAATAGAGGGTGTCTACTTGATAGAGGTTGTAAAACTTGCGCAATGTCTGTTATGCTTAATAGAGGGAGTCCGCTTAATTGGGGTCCGCTTAGTAGAGGTTTCACTGTATTTGATAAGTAACAATAATGGAAGAAATGAAAAATGGGTGGAGGAATGAGGAGCGGGACAATAATGCAATGTGTGAGTCATTTCCAACAGAATTAAGCTATGAATTTACAGGTGTGTTATTCGGGTTTTTGATCATGAATTAACACACTTTTTCTCAGGAAGTGTGGTGATCAAGAGGTTAACACCTTGAACTCTGAATTTGTAGGTCTGGGTTCAAGCCTTTTGCTGTCACATCATTTCCTTAGACAAGAAGTAACTTTGCTCTACTTTTTCTTTCATCCAGGAGAGTATAAAATGAGTGCAAACAACTTTCTGCTGAGAGTTATCCATGCAGTGGACACTAGCATCAGCTCCAAGGAGGAGTTGAAATTTTACTCTTTAGTCCTTAATGCCACAGAAACCAGGATAAGCTATGGCCATGTAGGCCTTATGGCTCATGTGTACCTTCAAAATTTTCAGAAGGTCTTACTTTGATGAGCAATGTCCAAAACTATACTCAGTACCTCCAGAGGCTAGATATAAACCATATTATATATGTTACAGGCCAAATTTGATTTCAGGTTAAATTTTTTTAACCTAGGTTGATTCTCAATTTCCTTTAACATCCCCTAGGGCCTATAATAAACCAAGTTCTGCACATTAAAATTCATACATGTAAAAAGCTTGGCCATGAGGCTTGGGGGAATAAAACAAAATATATTATTCATTGCTGAAGCTCAAGATGATTTCTTTTGTTTTATTCCCCCAAGCCTCAGAGCTAAGGGTAAATTTTAATATATTGAAATTGGTCCAATGAAATGTTCTTACCAGTATAATTTTACAAAGAAGTTTAGCCACTAGTACTTCTAAATCAAAACCTGAATGGCTTTAAAGAGTTTTCCCTGGAATTTGCTGATAACTGTGAAACCAGAGGACACATCTCTGTCTTCAAACCATGCTACAGGTGTTAGGAAGTCCCGGGGGTTTGCCAGTCCATTAGCGCCTGACAAATGTTAAAAATCTGGATCTAAATCATGAAGCAGACAAGCGCTTTTTGGTGTTTGCAAGTGTGAAATACTTCAACAAAATAATGCCATAGTATTGTCCTAAATTAATCAAAACTAAACTCTGTTCAGAGTGTGAATGCCAAAACACATAGATACGGGTACATGTAAATATACAGGTACAGGTACATAATGAAAAAGCATGTTAAGTATCCTCTAAGATGCTCATGGCTAATTCCATTATTTTTTATCCAGACGCAATTTTACATACACAAAGCGTTTTGGACTGGTCATCAGTGGGGCCGAAGTGGGCTGCACTGGTTCATGCATGACTTTTCCTTCATAAAATTTCTTTCCGCAAACTTAGGGAAAGGGATTTTCACTTAATTATACCTATTGGTCCACGATGAGGCAAAACAAAGTTTGCATCAAACACCTCCAGATTGTAACCTCTTGAAGGTTCACCTATCTCCACAGAAAACCTTATTTCTCATACATCAAATGTGCAGAGGGCAAATTTAATACAATAAAATAGCTTTTCCCATCTCAAGCTTTTTCGGCCGCCATTTTTAAATTGCACGGCCTTAACTTGTGCGTGTTTATAGCAAGGACTCATGACAACGGAGGACTCCAGTAGGCTGAAAATTTTGCAGAAGGGTTGATTTTTACAGGGTATTTTGCCGGAGGGGATAAAGTCTTAAA